AACAACTCGGTGTTTCTCTTGTGGGGGGAATCCCTTTGGTTTTCCTGCTTCTTATGTCCCTTTTCTTTCGCTGCAGTATCATGGGAGTGTGTGCGGCTGCCCTTCCTGAATTTAGTGTGGTATTTCCCAGCCAACTCCGTCTTCCATTAGTATCTTTTGGATCGTTTTTGGCATCCTTTTCTGTATTTCCTATTCGTTTCTGGAGAGGTAGTCTTGTTAGTCTATTTGTTACACAAAAATACAACAGTCATATAATGTTTTTTTTTTAATTGCCTGCTCTCGGTGTTTTCTCTGCTCTCCCTCTGTTGATGTATAGGAGAATTGCTGAACAGAAATCTAGAAAGGGACAAGACTTCCCTGTGGAAAAAAGGAGCAGATGAAGGGGAATAGTAAACAGGAGTAGAACACTAGGGATGCAGCTTTTGCAAGACATATGTCTTCATTCCATGTTCTCCCAGTTGTTGGTATCTGATGGATACTTAAGAAGAAATGCATCTCTTATCACCTGTTAGTCATTTTATCTAGAACTGGCTGGGATACAATCATATAACCATAACCTGATCTCTGTGTCCGTGGCTCCAAAACAAATTACTGCAGGGGACTGATGGTAGTCTTCAAAAACTGTCAGCATGTGTGCAGATGGGGCCATTCCTTTTTTTCATAAGTTCCTTGTTCATTCAGTAGGATATCTAATTGCAGAGCCAGGGGTATGTAGTTTGGTTCCTCACTGTGTCTCCTGGAGAAGAGCCAACCTGTGTAGTCTTGAGCAAGCTGCAGAGTCCCTGGGTGACCCTGGAAGAAGGGAATGGGAAACCATTTCTGTGCCTAGAAAAACCTCACAAGAGTTGCCATAAATGGGAATTGACTTGATAGCCCAAAAGTATGGCTATTATTATTGTCTTAAGCAACCTTCCAGAGAACACTGACATGCTGCTGCTTTATTTTCAAATGATTTGAGTATTTCAGAACTCAGAATAGTATTGTTCAGCTCCAGGTTTATCCTTTCAGATTACTAGTGTTCTGAGTGATTATTGCTGCTATTTTGTGGTAATTGGGACATGATAGGTTGATGTTTTAGATCTCTTGAATATCTTATAGTATAAACTGGTAACTAAGGATGGGAAACAATGGAGGAGCAAGGTAAGCAGCTAAATTCTGTGCTTGCTATGAAACAGGGACCAGAATTCTATCAGTTATTCTTACTGGTAACAGTTATGCCTCAAGTCAGCACACATTTAAACAGCAAACATCTGCAGGTCAAGAAGTCATTTCCTATTGCGCATTGGGTGATGTGACTTGATGACTTTGGAAGCCTGGTTTATCATTGGCATTCCCTAACCAGTTTTCCATGGTAAGTGGGGGTTGGACCTCAGGTCTCCTGAGTCCCAGACTGTCACTGTGTTCACTATATACCACACTGGATCTCTGTTTGAGAGGTAGAGCAGATGTAGACTAGAGTAGATGTTGTCACCTGTAGGTTTGTTGTAGGCAGAATAGATAATGGGGGGTTGTCCTGTTCCCCTCCTCACTCAAGCATCAACTTACTGATAAAAAGTCATGTGCCCTAAATTAGAGGGAAATTACTTTGCACAGGATAGCATTCTTGTTGTGTTCTTACAAGGTCCTACAGCACTCTTAAAGCAACAGGAATATGTGGAAAGGTGAAATCTTTTGCACACCCCAGTAGAATAAGTATCAATCTGTTTAGTAGTAACAGAGACCTTGATTCTTTAGGGATGAAATAATCTGTGTGCGTTACGGGATATAAGCAAACACTCCTTGTTCCAAGGTCTAGATGACACAAATGAGCTTCTAACAGCTGCTTGGATTCCCTTGGTCAAAGATAGGTAAAGTGAAGACTCTCCTTTCTTATTGAAGCTGGTGCAGGGGTAGAGCATATCTTGTGCTTGGAAATGAACTGCTGGATAGCTCAGTAATTAGGCCATTTGGTTGCAGAACCAGAGGCTGGAATTTGATTCCTCACTGTGCCTCTTTGACAGGATCTGGACTCAATGACCTATAGGATCCCTTCTAAGATGATGGTGATGGTAGTGGTTATTATTATCATTATAAGTCAGCCTCTCTGCCAAAGTCATCTGAGTTCTATTGCAACTTGTAGACTGCAAGCCACTCTTTGACGGTGGTTCTCAACCAATGGCTGATAAATAGAAATAGTTGAGATGGAACACCGGGTGTTCATAACCATTAGAACGTGTACTCTCTCAGTCCTTAAGTGAACTAATGGCATTGTACTAGTGGAATTGTTATTTTTCTTTGTTAGTGTAAAGTCCTAATGATACTGTTCATAAAAGCTTTACTGTAAATGATAGCACAGTAACAGAGAAATATAATAAATATGATTGTAAAAATCTTCCAGGAAGCCCTGTTATTGATCCTAAAGTTGTTGTTATAGAAAATAAGAATTTCAAAGAGAGATTTCAGAGTGAGGCAATTCTTGTAGGTTAGATCTATAAATTCCAATGTTTATCTAGAGAGTTAAACATAGGCCAGGGCTTTGTAATATACTGTGTATAAAGAAAATGATCTTAATTGTAGACTGATGTGTAGCCTGAAGTGTGGTTTCTCTGGCAAAACTCTGACCTCAGTAAGCACAACTTTTTCATGGGAGCAGAACTCATTTTTTATTTAGTACATCAAAGACAGAAGCCCTAACCATTGTGGATTAGTGTATAAATATTTTGCGTTAGCTAATAACTACCACTTGGCAAAATATTTATCTCATCAACACTTCAAAACTTCATTGTCAGTATTAATAACACACGCGTATTCCATTTCATTTGGTGCCCACCCTTGCAGTTGTGTGCACTTTTTGGGTAGATAAACCGATGGTGTTTGTTGCTGAACTCTGTGTGTCTAAAGAAGTGGACAGCAATCCATGAAACCTCAAATTGAAATAAATCTACTAGTCTTAAAGGTGCCATAAACTTTTTTCTTTTATTATACATGTAATAACACAGAATGACTGTAAACATATGCATATCCTTCTCTCAAGAAACTGAACTTTTTGTTTCTTCACAGTGGGACTCGGGTTCTTTTACAGAGTGATCCCTGGGACAAAAAGTATAAAATATACAACCCCAAGTGCCAAAAAGGACAGGTCAGTTTGGCTTGCTGACTTTGAAACTTTAAAGCCACGATGCCTGTAGAAATCTATTTTAACATCTTGCTGAGGATGCAGAATGTGAAAGGATAGAATAGATCTGT